TGCATGTGGCCACTCGAAATAGATGGGCATCAGCTCTACTGTGGCGAGGAGAGGCTACGGATCCTGTAACATCACATCCCCACCTCCCCAAAAAAACCTTACACCATACACCCACTGGAATCACACAGCCTATGTTCTACTTTCCTATAGCCCATCATCTCTCTTAGTCCTGCAACCCCATGGCTCTTGGGTTATGGGCTGATGTTGAAGCCTCAGGTCCACCTCTCATTTCCTCTCCCTTCTCCAGCCTTGCCAGCTCACAAACCTTTTTCATTATGAGGCTGAGACAATTGTCCCTCTACCCCTTCCATCTCAGCTTCGTGGTTCTCCTCAGCATAGGAGATGGCCAGGGAGTAAGAACTGGTCCTTCAGACAGCCCTGGGCAAGGCTTGGAAGGGGAAGATCAGGGACATGAATTACCAGCTGGTTCTGCAAAGTCACACAAATGAAGCCCGGCCACCACAGAGGTTCACGTGGAAACACGGCATGAAGCCAAGAATACACAATCAGGGCTACAGCTCAGGATCTGTCCAAAGGGTGTTGTCCTTGCTGAAGGAAGGAGAATTCTGCTTATGTGTCAATAGCCACAAAAATAGCTGAAGGCAAGCACAGGGAAATGAGTGGGAAAGCAAGCTGGAGTTAGTTTGGCAAAGCCTGCTTTGGCTGCCAGTCTAAGAGTCCCTGTTCTGAGCAGACAGCAAAGGCTGCACCAGCACTAGCTGCTTCTGGAGATCCTTTTCATTTAAACCAAAGAGGTTGTAACTATGGAGAGCATCCATCTTCCCTATAAAGCATGGTGGGGTGAGAGGCATCCCTTCCACGGGCGTGCATCATCCTGTGCAGCAATGATATCCTGAAGTACCAAGAGAGACGTCAGAGCCCAGTCACAGATCTTCAAGGAGTTAATGAATATTCCTCTGGGAGGAAAAAAAGAAAAAGGAAAGAAAAAAAAGGAAAAAAATATTTACAGTCTAGCTCCTCACAAACACATCTTGCAAAAATCAGACATATGACAACTATAAGACATAATAATAAGACATAAAACATAATAATAAGACATATGACAACTGCTCAGCATCAGATGGTGTCTTCATCTTCATTAGGGCACGACCTGAGCTCAGAGCAATGGGCACCATGTGGGGCAAATGCAGCTTTTGTTTTCCTACAGTCGGGCTTTATTCCTCTGCTAAAATTCCCATCGATGCTGTGGGCTCAGCGTGGGGCCGAGGTGTGCTGAGCGGGTGAAGACTGCAGCTCCTGCAGGCAGAGGGCAAGAGGAAGGTGATCTCAACAGAATATCCTCAAACCAATCAACCTCGGTCTGACCTGTAGCTCGATAAAGCACCTCTCCGAGCAAGCCCTTTCCATGACATAAAACCGCCTAAACTTCAGTGAGAGTGTAAATTCTATGAATTCTGCACCTTTTTTCTGCTTTTAGAAATGATGACTCATGCTGGCAGGAAAGCTGTCTGCTGAACAGCCTGAGCGGGGGCAGAGGAAAGGAGATGAGGCTTTGCAGGAGGAAAACATCCTTCCAAAGCCAGACATCTGCCCAGATGTGCCAGTGCCATGAGTCAAGGAGCTCCCTGGGAGAGAGCTCAGCTCCTGGCTCGTCCATTCCTCAGCCTTCCCAGAAGCAGTCTCCAGCCAGCAGCAGCAGGGACAACACTTAGTACATTAATAAATCCCATAATACTGAATAAAGCACTTTGGTTTATGGTTTTGCTATAAACACACACCCCTGGGTACTTATAATTAACTGAACTAGAAAAGAAATAAAGATTTCAGGGTTTTTTTCCTCACCAATTTCCTTTCGCTTAAAAAAAAAATAAAAATCACTGCTAATAAAAAAAAACCCTCTCCTGATATTTACCTGCCTGGGTAGGAATATTGATCTCTGTGCAGAGAGAAGGCACTTTCTTATTGCACGTCTCACTGGTTAATCCATCTTTCCCGGCTGCAGAATATTGCTTCGGCTCTATTTTGGGAGCAGTTCTGCAGTTGATTGATCTCCATGATCAGGCCTAGCCCTGTAACTCCTGGGAGGTGTGGGGAGAGCACATGGGAAGAACTCATTTTAGCCCTGCATCAGACCTCACCTCTAACAGCACGAGAGCCACCTGTTGCAAGACCAGGAGCAGCTGCGGAGCCTGGCAGGGTGCAGGCAGCTCCTGCGCATCTCCATCCACTGATGTTCTGGCATTTCCCCATCTTCTGTTTTCAGGTTGCCCGCAGACAAAGTTACCTGCACCACAGAAGTTCCCCCTGACCTCAATAAAAAGGAATCGGATGCTTTGGTGTTGTTGCACAAACGCAGGCGCAAAGAACCCGGCAGCGCAGGGGTTGAAACAACGCCCTGATCCACACGGCTGGGTGGTTCAGACTCCACATCATTCCAAGTACAAAGCTTTTTTATTTTCCTTTATTAAAGCACACGAGTAGCCACCTAGGAAATTGTCGTTTACACTGCAGCAGTTGTAAAATCATACCAACACAACCATTTCAGAAGAGAATTCAAGAGCCTGCACTTCAGCCGGCCAGCCAAGCGCAAGCCTTTAACTCCAGAGGCACAGTACAATAAAGCTTTTGCTTTCAGGTTTTTGTTGCTCTTCTTATAGCAAACTCCACTGAGCACTGAACAGAATGCCTAAACACACTCACTGCAAGGGCCACAGAATTACCCAAAAAAGCTTAGTAAACGCACATTTATTATTTGATTATGTAAGATCATTGCAGCATAGTCATTATAACAAAGTCCTTATCCAAAAAAAAAAAAAAAGGCAAAAAAAAATAGCCAAACACTGGTATGTTTTTTCAGAGGACATAAATCCATTTAAAATCCCAACCAAGAACTACAAAGGGAGGGTGGCTGTTGCTTAGCCAGCCACTAACAAATTCTCTCCGGCTCCCTAACGGCGCTGCAGGAAAAGCCGAGCAGTCGATTCCCAGCTCCATGGACAACTGAACCCTGTCAGGCTGTACCCAGCACCCTGTCAGACCGTGCCACAGCCATCGGGCTAAAAAGACTCAAAGTCGCTCGCTGGCCCCCGCTGTTACCATGGCCATGAACTCAACCCCCCACCAAACTTATTCTCTTGAGGCCATGGGTGCAGCTCACTGGCAGTTCTCAGGGAGTTTTTCTCAGCGTGCTCGGTGTTGTAGGAGATTTCCTGGTGAGTGCCCGAGGATACACATCCACTGCAAAGTGCATGAAGTGCCCAGATTTTCCTTGTCCCCCTGTAATACTCAGGGGAAGCGCTAATTGCAAAGCTTGCTCTGGTTCCCCTCCAGATTCCCAATCAAATGCTAATCAGCATAAAAATCCTCCCAGCCTGAGCAGTTTATGAGGGATCTGAGTCCTGTACATGGGACACTGGAATTGCAACTATAGTTTAAGCCCAACCATAAGGTAAATATCCTACATGGAAATATAACATTGGATTCTTTTATACAGCATATATAAAGGACATGACAGCATTAAAATATTGGCAAATCGATACATTCAAAATACAGAATCTCATAGACCAGAGCACAAGAAACATATTCATGTGACATCTGTATGCTCCAGACGATGCTGCCGGTTCTCACGCTGCAGTTGACCTCCCATCGTTGCTTTGCTTTCCCACCACCAGCCACCAATGCCCAGGTCTCCCTGGGCTTTTGTGCTACAGGAAGAGTACAAGTCTTCTGTCCTCGGTGGTTAAACTCTTTGGGAACAGTTCTGTTGTCAAATGAAATGACGGAGCATTTCATTTTCCACAAAGTTCTGGCCTACAGGGAGAGGAAGATCAGTCTACGGTTGGTGGGAGAGCTGGTACCTCAACAGCAGTTCCCAAGTGCTCTCAGCATCATGGATCTCATTTTGTTTAAAAAAAAAACCCAACAAAACAAAATCCAAAACCCAACCAAAACCAAACCACCTTTAGGATGGTTTGCATACCTCTTATCTGGTGTGGAGCGAGGGGGGCTGGTTTAAGCTCCCTTCCTACCAGAAACGTCCATATCTTCCAGAGGACCTGCGATTCTGAGTTCTCCAAAACGGCTTTCCCTTATATATAAATACACACAGACATAGGCCACTTCATTCCTCCCTCCTCTCGCTGAGGAAGATCCCCAAGGCATGCTTGGCAAGAAGAAATCCTACGGTACAGCGGTACCTTTATCCCTATAGAAATGTGTATATACAGATACATTCTGTCCGTTATTACAATGGAAATACAGGGTTTTAAAAAAAAATAATAGCAGCATGTAAACAAGAATTTGTGTTCATTTAATCTGTCTTTCATTCCTCCTCTTCTTAGCTATGATCATCAGTTTTGACAATGCCTGGTCCCCGCTCCCCTCTTGAGGTGGAGGGGTCTCCTCCAGACCCCCCCTGCAGGAGCTGATGATGTCCTCTCCCAGCTCCCAGCCGTGCAGCAGCTTGAATTTCCCCTTCCATCAGCTCTCCCCTCTCCCTCCCCACATCCTTCCCTTTGTGATGACTCATCCTGGAGATGATCTGGGGTTTTGTCTGACTGCTGCCCACTTCGGCTTCAGCAAAGTTTAATTTCAGAGCGATGCCGCAGGAGTAAAAGCTGCGTGCGAGCGCCTGGTGAGCCACGTGAGGTGTTAGCATCGACTCGGGGAGGAAAGAGAAGAGATGGAATGGTTTGCATTTTGTCTGTCTCCCAGCAGCAAAAGTGCAAGCTCCAGGAGCAATGCCCGTTTTTCAACCCTTAATTTCCAAATTTTCCATAATGTTGCACAAGGCTCAAAGGGCTGATCTCAAACGTGTTCCTCAGCGCGAGGTGCACTGGGATGAAAAACGCATGAAACGGGCTCATTTTTTTCTTCATGCTCTTGGAGTATCCGGTTTTCCCAACCCCCAAAATTGTTTCCTCAGTTTGTCGCCTCTCAGGCTTGAGGTCCTGCTAAAGAGCCGTTATCTGAGTTAGCTCTGAGGTGGGGGTGGTTGGACTCTGCTGGGTGACAGCCACCATGGGAATTTCCATGCCTAGTCAGGCCGGATTGTTAGTCCCCTCTGAGTTCTTGCAGGCGTAGGCCACATCCTTGGCGATGCTGCACATCCTGTTGGACATCTGGAGCTCGGTCCTGAAGGCGGTGGGGAAGCAGAACTTCTTGAAGCACGCCTTGAAGTTCTCATCTAAGAAGGCGTAGAGCACGGGGTTCAGGCTGCTGTTGGCGTAGCCCAGCGCGGTGCAGAAGCAGGAGATGGCCAGCTCGAGCTCGCTTTCTGCCTTGGCACCCAAGCACTGGACCAGCACGAAAATCTGGATGGGAGTCCAGCAGATGATGAAGACTGCCACAACCACCAGGACCATTCGGGTGATGCGCCTCAGGTTTCGGTCCTTCTCCTTGGAGCCTGAGAGGACACGGACGTTCTTGAGCCGTCTGATCATGAGACTGTAGCAAATGGTGATGATCAACACAGGGATCATAAAGGAGAAGAGAAAGACACAGATGCCAAAGACTGGATCCCAGTAATCCACGGGTGAAGGGAGTTTAATGAGGCAATCAATTTCTGCAAGCGAAAAAATAAAAAGGAAAGGAAGATCAGCAAACCCATATCAAGCACATTCAGTTTAATTCAGGCGTGTTGGACACTGGAGAAGCAGCAGCAGAGATACAGAAAGGCAAGGGCAGGAAGGAAAGAATCAAGACGGCTTTACAGCAGAGACCTTGCTGCACTGGTAGAACTGCCTCCCCTCTCCGATGTCTCCCCAAGGCCCATGGGTGCTTTCCTGACCACCAACACCTCCCACCCCATTGGATGCATTTTTACTGACCGTTGTTCTCATTCTCCGCAGACCCCATCACCATTGCCGGGATGCCAAAGACAGAAGCCAGTGCCCAGATGCAGACATTCACCACTTTGGCCTTGTGGGGAGTGCGGATGTCCAGGGCTTTGATAGGGTGGCAGATAGCAATGTAGCGATCCACGCTCATCATCGTCAGGGTGAAGGTGCTTGTGAACATGTTGTAGTAGTCTATAGAGATGGCAATCTTGCAGAGGACGTTGCCAAAGGGCCAGAAGCCCAGGAATGTGTCTGTACCCTGGAAGGGTAAGGTCATCAGACACAAGGTATCAGCCAGAGCGAGGTTAAAGATGTAAATGTTGGTTGCTGTCTTCATCTTGGTGAATCTGAAACATAGGAATGAGCAACAGTTAGAGCTCCACCTGCCCATGATGGGTAAGACATCGAAGTCTACCAAAGAGGACATTCTGCCACTGCAGGAAGGAGATGTTGTAACAAGAGATTGAAGGAAGAGATTCCCTTCTACCTCCTACCTGCTTATCAACATACGGTTCAACTTGGCTCCTTCAACAATACAAACAGCACCTTCACAATCAGTTTCACGGGCAGGACAAGCTTATTCCCTCAGACTGCAAGCGATGACCATGAAAGCCTGAGGCCGTCAACTCACACTGTGCTTTTTGAAAAGCGACTTCAGTAAGGCTAATCTAGGATTACATCACATATGGCTTCATTATTATAAATATTAGCGAGAGCTTTGCCTGGTAAGCTGATTTGAAAGGCTTCATATGGTCCAGGAGTAAGTTGATTAGCCCTTTTGTATGGGCCAGAATTGGCAAGATGGCCAGCAGCAGCTGGGAGAAATGAGGTTTGTATCAGAAATCAAAATATCACAGCGGCTCTTTCTAAAGAAAGGAGTAGTTTGCAGTTAAAGTCATGAGTCAATTTACTTTAGAGGGTTTTTGTCATTTCTATACTGCTTTTATTGCATGAACTGACTGCCCCAAAAGAAGGTTCACCTTGCTCATCGCCTTTTTACCCATGGGAGATGATGCAAAGAAAGATGTGATCACCTTCCCAAGGACACATGCAGAGTCTGCAGAAATGGAAACTCGATGGTGACTCTGTGACTGAATCTAACATTTCAGCTTCAGGATGTTCCTCTCACGGGCAAAATAAGAGCTTAAATAGGTATAATTTTAAAACTACAGCTCATCTATCATTTACTACACTAATGACCTTGGCAGAAATGTTGCCAGAAATGGCAGTGGCGATCTGTGTTATTAATGGAGGGCAAGTTCATTTGAGGGTAACACTCACATAAACTACTGCGTTATTTTCAGTTTGATACGTGTTAGAACATCATGGGGTCTGATCTGTGCTAAAAAAGCTCTTTTTGTCAAATTCATTTGGAACAGCAAATCCCCAACTGCACTCCTCAGCACTATACACCACCTCCACCCCAAAAAGATCCGAGCTTCAGCTCTTGATAGATTATTTGAATGCTTCAAGGAACATTAGCACTGCCACGCTCTGAGCTCTGCTGAGACACAAGCAGGTTTGCAAGAATAGCCACCAGGAGATCCACAATCCAGAACACAAAATCTAATTTATTTCTTTTACCCCTTTAAGAGCTCTAAGCTGTGCTTGTATTAGAAGTCGGATGTTTGAAAGAGGCCTTAGAAAACTAGGAAAAAATTATCCTTCATTTGACCTTGAAAGTCAAGGGAAGCTTTTGGAGCAGGTGGACATTGATGGAAGCACTTGAGGTGCCCACATAAGCCTGACCCAGGTTCCTCCTGGCCCAGAAGTCACAGCAGCTGAGCAAGAAAGGGGGTTTTTAGAAAACCATCCCAGTTCAGGTAAGCTTCTACAACCTAAAACAGCAAAGGAAAAACATCAGCATCTTTCCAGTTGTGAAGGGATGAACAAGCAAACGCTTTGCAAATCCAACAGAGCCAGGCAGCTGCCAGGGCTTCAGCACTTGGGGACCTCCTAAGCAGAGTTACACAAAAATGGACTCTGTGAATCCCAGAGCAGCAGCAGCTCAGGGTGGGCGAGTTTTACTCTTTTTCGTTTGAATTCTTGCAGTTGGCATAAACGAGGCAATGGACACCGGGAGGATGAGACCAGTCTGTGAACGGATTCGGGCATTTCCCCCTCTAGGTCAGCAAGGGGGGAATTCAAATGAAGTGAAATTGCTGTTCCTTATCAGCTCACACAAAAATAAGTATTGTCAGCTCAGGCTTCAGGAAATTATTTGGTCACCTAAGACCGTAAGGTCTCCTGGGAGCTGTAGTCTTCCTCTGCATACCATGGACCTGACTGGGCTTGCTCAAGCTGCTCAAAGATAAGTTTGTTCCAGTCCATCCTTCCAGGAGGATCAGATGTGGAGGCAATTCATCAATGTGCCTCTAACACCAACTGCTTTTACTGATATCATCACCTGAGGGAATAACAATTGCGGTTTTGAACAACGATGAGCAACTTTACTGGAAACTGAAAAAAAATTAAAGGTTGGTTGTTCGGGATTTTATCATCGACTGGCAGGAGAAACAAGCAGCAACCACCCACCTCTGTGACCCATCCAGCATCCATGGGGGACAACATTGCCTCTATACACATCCCTGTCCCCAGCACAGTGAGAAGTTTGGGGCATCTCAGGCAACCCTGAGCTTGGGGAGTGCAGGCTGCAAACCTTCATCTCCCTCCTGCACTCCTCCACCCCGAGAGACCTCACTGGGTCCTCTCCTCCAAGACAGTTCTTGATAAGAATTCACTTCCTCAGCCTGGCCCTGCAGAATCCGCTCTCCCTCCATGCACGGATCCCTCTCTGCTGCCTCTTTCCTCCCCACCCTGGGGGTGACAGCAGAGCCACCTTCCCTCCCTCCTTCCATCAATGGGACATGCTGGGGCAGCTGGCCCACTGCTTAGCTCCTTTGACCCACCCTCAGATGGATTTCAAGGCTGATTTTGTGCTCTGGAAAAGTGGGGAAATTAATTTACACCTAATTAATTAATTCTAGCTCCACTTCCTCTGCACGCTGAGAGCCAACAGCCACTATCCCAACCAACCCATGTTCCCAAACAGTTCCAGAATGTTCAGGTCAAATAAAAAAAAAAAAGTCAATTAATCACTTCTCTGCGGATTAACCTTTTTCCCTTTTCCTCCAGGAACTGAGAGTGTTCTCTTTCTTAATCTGCACCAGAAAAAAAAACAAAAACAAATTAAACACTTGGGCTGTTGGAGGTACCTTAGGTGTGCCCCACAGCACAGCTCAGACACAGATATGCCTGTGGCCACCTCAGAGGACATTAGCGCCCTGCTGAGCCACTTTCTTGCACTCAGTCACAAAGGCAATTTCCTAATGGAGCATCTCCCACAGGGCGGCTCTCAGCTCTCCATCCACCTTATTTGTCACAAAAGTAATCGCTCTGCTCTCCTGTTCTCCTGGCTGCTGAAGCCCGAAAGCAAAAAAACATCTGGATATCAGCTCAGCACTTGGCTTCCCTCTCCTTTTTTTGCAAAGTGGACCTCAAGCAGTGTTACCTGGGACGAAGCTGTGCTCCAGCAAGGGGAACCCATCATTTGGGAGAGCAGATGGGTAGGAAACAGCTCTTCTACATACTGGGCTTTGAGGTTTTTCACAAGGCGGAATTCTGTCCCTGGCTGAGCCTCAGGGTGAGCTGCAAACCTTTTGTTTCAGCATCACTCCCTCCTTTTTACCCAAGAACCCTGAGGCTGCAGGACAGGGAGCAGCTCCGCATGCCCCAGGGCTAAGGATCGAGCTGGCTGCAGCAAACCTACAACCTGAAACGGGGCTGCAGATACCAGAGGCAAAGGGAGCAGAGCAAAGCTTTCAGTGCTGGGAACCGTGAGCATCCCCTCTGCTTCTCGATTTCGATAGCCGTAGCTCCAGCTAATTGGGATGCAGACAGTGCTGCTCACCTTGAGCAGCTCCCTCCGTTCCCACCCCACGTCCTGGCATCAGCGACAGCCTTTACCGCCCTCCCCGGACATGCCCAGGGAAACAAAACAGAGCAGAAAAGGCTCAGGGAGGATTTTTGCCAAGCTGCTCCCACCCTCTCACTGTGGAAATGAGCACCAGTTCACTGACATCTCCGCTCCCAGCCAGCTCTGAGCCCGTAGGTTGTACGAAGCTGATGTTTGCTCTGGCACGTACCATCATGATTTGTGTCCTCCCAGCCACACGCCCACACCGTGCTCTTCGTGTACCTGCTGCTTTGATCACCTTTTCAGAGCTCCCTCATCGAAATTACCCAATTCAAAGCCAGTTTATTCTTAATGCTTTAACAGGCCACAAAAACCCCAGGGAATTGACAGAGGACAAATTCAAATCACTTTGGACTATGAAGCCAGACGTTACAGCAAAGGCAGCCAGCAACACCGGCATGTAAAAGCCTATTAATTACCTGGCAGGACAGTGACTGATTAATAGGGGTTAAGAGGTCTGCTGCCAGCCAGCAGGACTTTGGGATGGATGATTTTCTTGCTCTCCAAGTCTCACTGCCATGTCTGGGTGACACCGGTGCCCTTCCCTCCTCAAGGTGCTCTCTGGGCACCAGCATGAACGAGGACACTACACGGCCCCGATTGCTGCTGTGCTGAGGGCAGAGGCTGGGCAGCTGCTGCTGCAAAAAAAGCCTCTGCAGCTCACCCAGGGACTCGCAGGGATGCTCACGCCACCAGAAATGGTGCTTCAGTCTAAGGAGCGCGTTCACCAGCATCTGTCCTGCAGTAAGATGCTCTCATCCCTGTTCGTGTGCCAGAACGGCCTCTGCTGAACTGCTCCTGTCCTAAAAGCTGCTGCGAGTTGCCTAGTCCCTGAAAAACACTGGGAACTGAGTCCTGCATTGAATATCACCGAATTACTGCTCTGCATGTGGGTAACTCATCCTGCCAAAACTGGGGGAAACAAAAAGACCTCCAGCATAGATTTCAGTGGCAGGAGCTGTGTTAGCAGGGGCCAGACACAACAACCGTGAGCCACGTGGCTGAGCCCAGCTCACCTGAGCTCACGGGGACCTGGACACTGGGGAGTTGCAGACCTGCCCTTTGCAGCCACTGTCACAGCAGGTCCCCCTCCCGCGCACCTCGCCATCCTCCCTTGACTCCAATCACTCTGCACAGCATAGCGCCCTTGGCATGGGTTTCCCTTCTCTACAAATTCCAACAATTATCTTATTTTTTTTTGTTTTAGCCATGAAAGCCTTCAAGAGGTGGATCTGGAGAGAGCTGAGGTCTCAGATGGCCCCACCAGTGTCCGCTGGGTCCACAATGCACTAAACACCCAGCTCTCAGACACACAGCTGGTCTCTTCCCTTTGAAAGCTTTCTGTTAAGAAATCAGCACCTCTGCAATGGCACAATTAACTTCATTTTCCCTGTCTCATCACAGCCATCTGCCCCCACCTCTATTCTCAGGGATGAAGGCAGTTTTCAAGCAGACTAACAGCTGGCACAGCCAAACCCCAGCAGCCACCCGATGCAGGCACCTCCCCATCACATCCCTCCTCCTAAAGCTTCACCTGGAAGCAGCAAATGGAAGCGTAGGGACCTGACAGCCCCAGTGTGGCTAAACACCTGCTTAAAATGTTCTGAAACAGTTTTTTTCAACAGAGTGGGCTGAGCATCCCCAGTACTTTGTTGGGCTCCCAACAGAGAGCTGCCATGGCAAAAAAAGCGCCCAGGAAGAGGCATCATTGCCCAGTCTGAGCGAGCAGAGCCAGCACTGGGGAAGGGAGTCCTCCAGGTTGTCACCACTGAGCATCCTAGCAGCACGGTGGAGCTGGGGAGAACTCAGATGTTCCCAGGCCAGAAGCTGCATGTTGCCCCCTGTCCCTTCCCTCGGCACAGCGGGGGCTGGCGGAGGCTTGGGGATCTCTGTCACACCCTGTGATGGGTCAGCATCACCTTCAGCCCCAAGAACGATACAGCATTCCCCCTCTCCCCTTCACTTTTTTTCCTAAAAACCAAAGCTTTCAGGCAACCAGCCTTGCAGATAAAGAGGGAGCTCAGCTGGCTGGTTTCCCCCGCTCTCCCCCCAAACCTCCTCTCTGCCTCGTGCTGCTCAACTCCTTATTGCACGTTCATTAAAAAGGAAATATATGCAGAAGAGAGCAAACAGCAGAAGGAAAAGAGGGCGGGGAGGGGAGGGGGAAAAGGCATTATCTCCCCTGGCAAGGAACTCCACAATGAGCCAGCAGAACAAAGCGGCAGACGAGGCAGGGTTCCACAACAGGCCCTTTACTGTCCAGGAAATCGTGTTCCTGATGAGAGCCCTTCTTGGTCTTACCCAGTTAGTGCTACTCAGCACTAGAAGGGGACTGACAGTCACATGAAGACTGTCTCTATAAATTAATCATTCCAAATGTTAAATCACTCCAGGCGTAACAGAGAGGTAGGCTGCGTTCTACAACAGAGGGGAAAACCTAGAGGAGGATTTTTTTGTGGGACATGTGGGGAGATTTTAAACTTTTCCCTCCATGCCACAAAAAAACCCTCATTCAAGAGGAGTAAAAACAAGCCTTCCTGACACCTTCAGTTTCCTCGAGTGCTGATATTAGAGCCTTTGCATTTCTCAGCTCCCTCAACAACAGGAAACAATTACTGTCTACATCATCATACCATTCTTTTTATGGAAGATAATACATCAGTTTCTTATAGGTTGTGTAGCAACTGGTCTGGTTTATCCCTTGTGAAATACAAGCACGGAAAGAAAAAAAAACTAAAAAACGAGCTTTTGCAGGTGCACCATACCTACAGATGATAGGGCTGCAGCATCAAGGGTTTGTCAGTCTTTTCCGCTAATGGAAGAGATATATCACTAGGAGTCCTAAACCTCCATGCTGACTTACCAGCAATCAACTTTCAACCTACTGAAAAAAGATGTGTTGAAGGCACAAAACCCAGAAGCATCAATGCTGTAGTCTGGCAGGAAAAAAAAATGTGTTTGAGGAGTCATCAACATGCTCCTTGCATGGCCACTAATTTGGCAGCTCTGTGTGAATCTGGATGCATGATCAGGGTCAAAAGTTTGAGATACTGAGTCCAGCTTATCACCACATCTGCTCCTGACCTCAGACTGGACAAGGAGAGAAAAATCCTGGGCACAGAGAACCAAAAGTCACGGTTACTCATTCAACCAAGAAGGGTGATTTCCCCAGGGATAACTCAGCATTGATCTCAGCCAGGACTGGGCTCCCAGGAGACACCAATGGGGAGAACCAGCAGCTTCTTCTGCACATGCTCTAGCTCAGTTATAAATTCCCCAGCACACATTATCCAAGGGGACCCTCCAGGCTCACATAAAAGCCAAAAAGAAGCAGAGCAGAAGCCACAGTTTAAAAAATGTGACCTTACACACCAAAGCACACGACTGCTGGTTTGGGACCTTCATATTCTTGTTGATATACTAGACATAGCCCTGGGCAGGGTCCAGCAAGACCTGTGCAGACATGGAAAAGTTTTCCTCCAAGTCTCGTCCCAACACTCATCTAAGGTCTGTGCACTGGTCACGGACTCCCTTCTCCTCCCTGTGGACCAGCCCAGTCATTCCCAGGCTGCTGCATCTCAATGGGACAGAGACTTCTCACTCACAGAGACTCACAACTCCCCACGCTTACACGCACCCACAAACATCGTGCCACTACTTGAGTCATTGCTACTACACTGAGCAGAAAGAGGAGCTCTCCAGACCCGGCACTGCTGCACTCTTCCTCTCTCCACCTCCAGATGCCCCAGGGCTAACCTGATCCCCTCTCCAGCCATAAACTCCTCAGCGGGCAGGCAGCCCGATGAACCATCTCTTTGCCCTCAGAGCAGAGATTTAGCCACCGCTCACCAACCTGTGATGCTGAAGCTTTAATTCTGAGCATCTCCCGCAGCCGAGTTGTGTGTATTGAAGGGGAAGATGTTTTGGAAGCAGCAGAGCTCCTGGCAGGAGCGAGACTTAATCTCATCAATGTCTGAATACCTGCTAAATATTTTCATCCTCTGTTGGAGGAGAAAACAAATTCGCTTTGTCTTTTCCTTGCTGGCAGCATTCACCTGCGCTAGGGATGTGCTCTGAGATATATATAAAATGGAAGCTCACTCCTTAACATACAGGAGACAGAGATCAGAAGGGGGTTGCTGGTGTTTGACACAGAACCACAGTTGCATAAACTCATTTTGTACTTACGGGGTGGAGGGGGAAGAGGGTTTCTAATTCCAGGAAATAAGGGAGGTTGAACCCCAGCAAAACCAAGCACCAGCAGCTCCAGCAGTGCTGCTGGATTATTGTGTGCTCTGTGCTGGATGTCTCTACAGAGGTCCCCCTGCTCTCCCACCTTCAGCATGAGGAGCCAGAGAAGTTGCCCTCATCTCCACAGCATCCTGTCCCATCTTACGTCTATAGCTTCCGAAGCGTTGGAAGAGCTACATTTGTGATTTTTTTTTTTTCATCTCCCAGGAGGCCCTTTCCTTTCCCTTGCAACTGCCCTCAGCTTTGGGAAGCACCAGCTCCCAGAGGCAGCAGCACCTGCAGCCACAGCTGGGTGCTGGACACAGCACAGGAGGGAGAGATCCTGTCAAGGATCAGGCTCACCCTGGCAGCAGGATGCTCCCAGCACTTTGCCATCCTAAGGGACAGCAGCTCCCTGCCTGGCAGTTTGCAGGGGAAAAAAAAAAAAAGGGAAAAAAAAGCCCCATTTTTTTTTTCGAGCAGATCTGATCGCTCTCTTCCATTCTCTGGGTTAAACTTTAGGAGGCACCAGAGGGCAGCTGAAAACTGGTGAGAACCTTCATCACAGCCTAGGAAGGGAGAAAAAAACAAATAAAACCAAAACAATACAACGAATGCCACACAGTTACCTCCAAAGCGCATCGCAATTACCAGGGAAGCACCTGCCTGCTTCACCTGCAGCAGGGATTTAGGAGGGGGGGAAGGTCTGCCCTACTCACAGCCCCCCACCCCGATCTTCTCCTTGTGTGTCCTACCTGACGATCACGTACATGACGGAGCAGTTGCCCACCAGCCCCACGATGCAGACAATGGAGTAGACAACCACGATGGTGATCTTGATGCTGAGCGGCAGGAAGCTGTCCCCCGTGCCGTTATTAAACCAGTTACTGGGCAGAAAGCTGAGGTTCAGCATGGAGGAGTCGTTCAGCAGCTTCCTCAGGTCAGGGTCTTCCAAAATATGGGCAGGGAAGAGGGGGTCCATCCTGAAACACCAGCCTGTGCCCAGGTCCTGGGACACCAAAGAGACAGTTTCAAGATCCGCCAATCAATCAGGTAGTGCGGGACCGTAGCAAAGCGTGCATGTGAGAAACGCTGGGGGAGAAGGCTGATTTATTGCTGGAAAGAGCACAGCCTCCCCCTCCCCACCCCAACCACCCCTAAGAGAATTTTAAGGGGGTGCAACCCCGGGAGCTCGGTGCATCCTGAGCAGACAGGGAGCTCACGCATATCTCCA